GGATCCCTGTTTTGCATCACAACAACAACCTTAAATAGAAAATAACTGGGCCAGAAACCTAAACTAGGCCCGCAAGGAAAACTATATTATCACAAGTCAGAAACTTCAACGAATTATTTGAGACTCAAGCAATCTGAATCAGCTTCTTTGTGTAACAAAAAAGTTGTAGATCTTTTTCTTAGCTTTCCATCGACTGGTAGAATGCCTTGATCTGATTCCTGTAGCTCCAGTTATGAATTTTTTACTAAAAGCTGCTAATGTTGAAAAATAACAAACGAAAATTAAATAAAGCTGAAAATAAATTAAATTGCAAAAACATCATAAAATAGGAAATTAAACAAACTAAACTATAGAAATTCCTAAGTCTAAACATATAGGAAGGTGCATCAAAATGCACTGATCTAATTCTCCCACACTTGAACCTTTGCACTCCGAGCAAAGTATTGCCAAAACTCATGAAACACAAAAACATTCAGTTACTCATTCTAGACTGTGAACTCCTCTTTGGTCAAGATTGCATCAATAAGTATTAATTTTGCACACTAAGAATATCGTAAGAGCACAAACCCTCAATTGTGCGGTCATAAGGCTCCCTCCTATACAAACCAATCCAAATCATGTCGTTATGCCTAAGTCTGACTTACTCATCCTTTTTTTTTGTTGCTCTCTTTCATTCTAGTGCAATCACATTAAACCCTTTATCTATTCACACACATGGTAACTGAGCTTGTTAGTGACCATAATCCATATTTTTTTTCTCAACAATTCAGAATTAGACACTTTTTTGTCTTTTCTTTTTTTTCTTTCTCACTTTTTGTCTTTTTCCTTTTCTCTTTGTCTTCTTTTTTTTTCTTTTCTTATTAAGCACATGATCATTCACTTATTTGCATCAGCTCAATTACTTAGCATGTGATTTCTAGATGGCGCCGACTGCTAGATAAACTACTTAAGAGCTATTAGAGGACGAGAACTCAAGACTATGCCATAATAAGTATCTAAATCGATTTCCATATTTGGGAAACTCAAGGTGTTAAAACGATACCGATCTTATGAACTGTTCCCAAGTCTCCACAATCTGACCTCAAATTGATCTATAGCCCAAACATTTCAAAAAAATGCATTGTGTTTTTCTAAGTAAACAATTTTTTTAAAAATGAAAACAAAACAAAATAAAGAAAATTGAAAGAAATAAAACAAAGTAAATGGTTCCCTCCCCCACACTTAAAGCATACACTATCCTCAATGAAAGAACATAAATAAAAAATAAGAGTGAGAGAAAGGAAGGAACACACCCGAGGAGTCAAGGTGGATAAGTGATCACATATGCATCCTTTTCCAAAGAGAGATTTCTTGCAGTCTCCTCTTCCAAAGTGGGGATCTCATACAGTAGCTTTGGGTAGCATCCATTGACCTTGAAATATTTATTAGTGTCTTCTCCTTTTATTCCAGGATCAAAGAAGAATCTTTGATAAATAAAAGTGTTGCATTGGCACGTGAATGTGATCACTTTTTTCATAACAACAAGAATTAGAGGATTAAAGGGCTGCCTCACTAATTTCTTTCTATCTTCCATCGAGGTCCATCCAATTCCCTTCCTATGTTTCTTCAAAACCTGCAAAAGTTTATTATCTTCATCAAAATCAAGGTTAGAAGAAATTATAACTGGAAGCTTTTTATCCATATCTAAATAAGCATAATTCAGATTGTTATGAAGTGGTTTAAGCTACAAAGGGGGAGGTTGTTCAATGGATGGTGAGGTTGGGGCAGGCGTGATGTCAAGAGTTTCAGTTGTATAAACAACTTCATCTGCATGAAAAACATTACCCTGCACAACAACATCAATGTCAGCACAAACATAGCAAATGTTAGTGTTGGTACATGAATCACAAGAGCAAGTTTCATCATAATCTAATAAAAATGGAAAATCAGATACCAACTCAGGATAAGTATCATCAACTAAATCAGATAGTAACTCTTTTGGATTCACTACTGTTTGGAACAATTTGGAACGAGATTAAATAAAATAAATCGCAATTGAAATTGAAATAAACCTCAAAGAATTACGGGATTCGAAACTGGCGGATTTTCCCTTAGGATTAGTTCGCCATGAAAACAATAGAAAGCAAGAAAGAAATTAGGAAAATAAAAATTAGGATCCCTGTTTTGCATCACAGCAGCAACCTTAAATAGAAAATAACTTGGCCAGAAACCTAAACTAGGCCCACAAGGAAAACTACATTATCACAAGTTAGAAATTTCAACGAATTATTCTAGACTTAAGAAATTTGAATCAGCTCCTTTGTGCAACATAAAAGTTGTAGATCTTTTTCTTAGATTTCCAACGACTGGTAGAACGCCTCGATCCGATTCCTGTAGCTCCAGTTATGAATTTTTTACTAAAAGCTGCTAATGCTGAAAAATAACAAACGAAAATTAAATAAAGCTGAAAATAAATTAAATTGCAAAAAAATAATAAAATAGGAAATTAAACAAAGTAAACTATAGAAGTGCCTAAGTCTAAACATAGAGGAAGGTGCATCAAAATGCACTGATCAATGACCTAAGAGCAGTAGAAAGTTTTTGAACAATATTAAATCGCCAGATCGTTTTAATTAAAAAATTAACAAAATTTCAAAATAAATATATTTTAAAAGTTAAAATAAAAAAATTTAGAAACTAGAATTCTCATCCGCCATATCTTTATCTCTCTATTCACTAAAGAAAATTGAAAAAAAGTTTAATAGACGCAAAAAAATCGATTTACTCTATCATACTTTTGCCATATTTAAGGTGTAATGTTATTTTCAAGAACCTTTTAGAGACCAAATCATTTGGTTTTAACCAATTTATACATTTACAATTTTGTCATTAAGACCGAGTTATGTGATTGAGTCATTCGATTTCGTCTAAGTCAATCATGCCGTTTAATTACTAACTCTTTAGTCCGACCTTCAATCTCTCGACTTCGCGATCTTGTTAAGTCGATGGCCAAGTTGGTTTTTAAAACCCTCACTACAATTTTATTTTAGAAATCATGTTATTTAAATACCTAATTTAGTGAAAGATATTTTTGTCTAATACATAAAAATGTAAAGGTACGTTCGCAGTTGTTTGAGATTTTTTTTACTTCATATCCCTACCTTTATTCATATATCCTTACATTAAAAAAATATCAATTTTGCTCTTGGATATTTTTAACTAACTTATTATTTTACTTTTTAAATATTTTTTAACTTTTATTTTGTATACGAGAAGACTTTGCAAAAGAGTTTCGGCAGTCAATTTTTTAACTTTTATTTTGTATATTAGAAGACTTTGTAAAAGAGTCATGGTAGTTAATTTTTAACATTAACTTTTTATTTTTGTGTATTAAAAGACTTTGTAAAAGAGTTATGATAATCAATTTTTAAACATTTTTTAACTTTTATTTCGTGTATCGGAAGATTTTGTAAAAGAATTATGGTGTTCAATTTTTTAACATTTTAAACTTTTATTTTGCATACCAGAAGACTTTTCAAAGAATTCTGGTAGTCATTTTAAAAATATTTTTTAACTTTTATTTTGTATATTCAGAAAACTTTGAAAAAAAGTTCCTGTAATTAGTTTTAAATATTTTTTTTATTTTGTGCATTGGAAGACTTTGTAAATTAGTTCCGGTAATCCGTTTTTAACAATAACTTTTATTTTATATATTAGGAGATTTTTCAAATGAGTTTTGATAGTCGGTTTTTAATATTAACTTTTATTTTGTGTATCAGAAAACTTCGTAAATGAGTTTTGGTATTCAGTTTTTAAATATTTTTTAACTTTTATTTTGTGTAGATAGACTTTGTAAAATAGTTATGGTAATAAGTTTTTTAATATTTTGGCTAAATTACAGTTTTGGTCCTCCTATTTTGTCTGATTCACGAAATTAGTCCCCCTATTTTAAATTTAAGCAATTTTGTTCCCTCTTTTAAACTCAAAAAATTTTAGTCCCCCTCTAACATTTTTTTTCATAGAAAATCGATAAAAATTTCGTTTTTTAACTCATATTTTTATCTGCAAAGTTCAATAATAGGTTTATATACGATGATTTGTTATGTTTTATATGTAAGTTGTCATCTAAAAAATAAAACATTGTTAATTTTAAGTTCAAAAATATGAGAGGGGGACCACAACAGTTTAAATTTAAAGTAGATGACCAAAACTGTTTAAATTTAAAATAGGGGAACCAATTTCGCGAGTCAAGTAAAATTGAGAGACTAAAACTATAATTAAGCCTAATATTTTTAAATTTTTAATAAATTATTTAAATAAGAATATTTTGGTCCAAAATGTAAGGAAAGGAAAATAAATAAGAGAGGTTCTTATGGCACCCCTTGGGGTTATTAACCACCATGTGCGTTTACTTAAATGCCCTCAGATTTTAGAGATATATCTCCTAACGCATTTTTTTTATTCAATGTTGATTTTTTTCGGAAATACATCTCCGAAATCACCATAAAACACATATTTTATTCATTTTTTTAAGTCAGACTCTAAATTAATAAATAAATTGTTTTCGGAATCAATTTATTTATAAATTAGAAGGTCTGGCTCAAAAAACAAATAAAATACATGTTTTATGGTGATTCCGGAGATGTATCTCCGAAAAAATACAACGTTGAGTAAAAAAAAAAAAAGCCGAGGATATATTTCTGAAATCTGAGAACATTTAAAGAAATACGTATGATGTCTAATAATCCTAAAGGTGGGATAAGAAATTCCCATAAATAATGGAGTATGGTAAAATTTTCTTGTTTGGATTACATTTAACAATTACCTTGGGCCTAATATACCAGCCCAGCCCAGCATAATTTGACATATCTCCTTAGTCGCATACAATTTCTCCTTCATCCCAACACCGAAACTCCAAGGTTCACTCTCTTCCTTTTCACGCGCGCTTTCTTCTCCTATTCCATAGCGTGCTTCTGACTTCAATGCCGTTATTCTTTCTACTATAACACCAAAATATTCAAATGGCATGTTGCTGTAAGTACAACTATTTGTTTCTTCACTCGCATTTCTTGTGGAGAAGAGTTCCATTTCCTCGCCGTCGCGTTACCGTAACCTCCACCGCCGGTATCTACTCTCGCAATTTTCAATCTCCAAAGTTGCTCAGTTCTTCACGCGCACCACTCTCGAAGGTGAACCACTCGCGTAACTAACTTCATATTATTAATCACCGTGCTTTTTTCTTTTTTGTCAAACTTAAAATTATATTTGTTTTTTTCGCGTTTATTCGTTAGGGCTATTGTACAGAAAGTTTAGATTCGCGTGGAGATGGAGTTGTTTCTTCAACTTCTCAGAGCAATGCAACATTGGCTCCAGAAATTAGTTATGGAGCTGCTCCAGCTGTGCAGCTCGGTTCTGTTAGCAATGCGGAGGCTGTGGGGAGCAGTGATTCTTTCAATGGCAGAGTCATGCTCATTGATGGCACATCGGTCATTCACAGGGCATACTACAAGCTTTTAGGTATGCGCTGTTGTTTTGTTTAAGCGTTCTATGTTTTATTTTGCTTATTTTTTTAATCACTTCTAGATTATTTTAGTGAATCATTTTTGTTTGTATTAGAGATTCACATTTGCAATTGTTTTTGAACATGAGAATTTTAATTATATTAGACTAGATAAGATAAGATTAGAAATGACAAGATTAGAGAAATTGTTGGGGTAGCCCTATAGTATAAAAGATTGGTGGAAAATATAATTAGGTGATTTTGGGCATGTAGAAAGAAGTCCAATAGATTAGATGGAATGGAGTCAAACAACTAAAGATAAAGGAAGACCTAGGAAATCTATAAGAGAAGTTATTAAGAACGATCTCGAGATTAACAACTTGGATAAAGCATGGCCCAGGATAAAACATTATGACGAAAATTGATCCATGTAACCGACTCCATTCAGTGGTTGTTGTTGTATTAATACTTGTTTGATAAACTTTTGGGTTTTATTCTTATGTTTTGATATTGATAAAGTTAGAAGTTAATTTGCTTCCTCTTATTTTGTTTTATTTATTGTTTATTAGGGATTTTGTTTGAAAAATGTAAATGATTGTTGTTAATCCATGTTGGTTTGATAGCGAAACTGCACCATGGTCATCTAGCGCACGCTGATGGAAATGGAGATTGGGTTTTGACGATATTTTCAGCGCTGTCATTTGTAAGTTATTTGTTGATTTTTTATTTTCTCATTTTGAGTTGCAGAATTTGCAAACATTTATGCCACTGTCATCAGTTTTTTTTTTCATCTTGGTGCATAATTTCTTTGATGTTGTTATATTGGTCTCTAATGAGTACAACTATAGATGAAGGGTATTTCCCCCCTCATCAAGCTATTCTGAATTTTATGCAAGAATAGAAACATTTTATGGTAAGTTCTAATTTTAATGCCCGACCTTGGTTAAAAAGATTGAGATTAATTTGAGATTGAGATTGATTTGAGACACTGAATTGATAAATGAAACCTTGGATCAAGATTATTTGTTACTCCCTCCATCCTGAAAGAGAGAAAAATACTTTTTTACTAAAGTACTCTTGTCATGTAATGCTGTATTCACCTTTATAATAAATGCAAAATAAAATAAAATGAATTGAGAGTGATACATTTTACATTAATTAGATATATGAGGGTGTACTATTACATCAACAACAAAAGCCGAGCCCTATGCTAATAAATATTATCTAAACATACATATATAATTATTAGATAAAAAAAAGAAATATAACACATTAATAATTAATAATATTGTGCACCTTGTATTGTTGTTGGTTTCATTAATTCAGAGACAAAAAGTATGTGAGAAGTTTATGCTCTCTGGATTAGTCTAGTCTAATGGGATAGTTAGAATATATAACCATAAGGTTGCAGATAGACTTTGTCATTATCACTTTTAGGGATTTCTTAGGGAAGCCATGCCTACTATATTTCTCCATAGTAATGTTATCACTTTAAGGACTCACATTTTTCATAAAGCGTTTTGTGTTTCAGAAAATTCATTTGTGATGGCGTCAAGTTTTTCTATCGAAACCCAAAAGACCTTTATAAAATATGTGAGCACCCTATCAGAGTGGGACTCAAGGTGATAACATTTAATATTATAAAATATGTGAGCACCCTATCAGAAATATTATAAAAGACCTTTATAAAATATTATAACATTTAATATTGAAAAATCTATTAGGCGGAACATCCCTAAAAATAATAATGCCAAAGTTTATTTAAAATTTTGTGGTTATATATTCTGACTATCCCATTAAATCAGACTAATCCAGTAAACGGACAACACAGTTATCACGTACTTTTCATCTTTGAATTGATGGAACCAATAATAATACAAGGTACACAACTTTTATAATTATTTAATCATATATGCCATATTATGTGTATATGTTTAGGTGATACTTATCATATCCCATTAAGCACGGTCGGCGACATGGATCAAAAATTACGCTATAGGGTTCTATTAGAGACCATGTTTCGATCTAATTAGTTAATCTCAATATATTTTTCAATAGTTTTTCTAGGTCTTACTTTAAGTCTAGGTGCTTCCCAAATCCCCCCTCTAATATTGTCATTTTTAATCTTACATCGTCTAGTTTTACCATACCTCCAACTCAACATCTTCATCTCGTCTAGTCTAGTCTTACCCCAAGTCACTCTCTAATGTTATATTGAAAATTGAAAGAAGTTAGTCATTTTGGAACAATTTTTCTTTTTTAACAAATATGTCATTTATATTGAGACGGAGACGGAGGGAGTATAAACTATTCTTAGAATGCAATCTTTAAACTTGTCTAATAATTAAATATCTGTGTTTATAGTGTCAGAAAATGCAGAAGTACCAGTTGCAAAGATGTGGTCTTAGAAGTGCTACAATTTAACTATTTTCGAGCATAATTGTCTTTTGGATGAAACACACATGCTTAATAAACAATAATTTTAATTTACACTGAAGAAACTATGCAGTGTTTTTTTCCTCACTCAAGAAAAGGGAGAAATTAATGTTGTGTCCTTGGAAATCATTCAATTTTAATCTTAAATTTTTTCATTTGTTTCATTAACAATGCAAGTTGTATATGATAACTTTAACTGTGACTGAATCAGTGTTGTCAAATATCTACCATGTGGTGGTATATGATAATTTTAACAAGGCACATAGAAGTTTCTTTTTGTTTGATATGTGTCATTTTTATCTTTTAGTTACTCTTGGTTTTCTTTCTTACAGATAATTGATGTTCTGGAACTTATCCCTTCCCATGTGGTGGTATGTTTTATCCTTTATGCATTTATCTATGTGAAATGCTTGCATTTTCTTTAAGTTTATTATCCTCACTAGTTATCTGTGTGAAAAGGTTGCATTTCCCTTTTCACATATACAATCAGTTAGTCTGGCTAAATAATGGTTTCTTTTGCATGCAGGTTGTGTTTGACCATGATGGTAAGATATGGATTTCCTCTTCTATATTTGCTAGTATATTTTGCATCCTATTTGGATCCCTCATGGTAATAGAAAATAAGTTTCTTTTAATTATAAAATAATAATACTCTATATTTTGATTATTTTGTTCTTGGGGTGTGCTTCCATTGGTAATAAATTGAGTTGAAGTTTAGTTTGCATTTTGGGTTGTGTTAGGCACCTTATGTTTTGATAAGATCATGTTGTTTTCTTTGACCAAGTTAGGATTTTGTTATTGACCAAAACCATTATAAAAAAACATTGACTGTTCACAACGATAATATAGATGCTGAAGGGAAACATAGGCATTAGGGTCAAAATGATGGACTTAGAGGGTATTTCTGTAAACATCTTAATTTAACGTCAATAAACACTTTATATGAGAGCTAATGCATAAGTTGATTTTACAATCAAAGAGACATCGAGGATAAGCTATGTGTATAAGCTGTTTCCATAAGCTATTTTGGAATGCCAGTAAACAAATAGTAAAACAATTTATGGGTATATATAAGTTAGTTTTATGAACTCTTACAAAAAGGGAGCAAGTACTTCTGTTTTAAGCAAATTAGCTCCCGCCTTAGTGTATGAACCCTGAAGACTGGAAATGCGTTCTTGAAGTAAACCAAAAGCAAAATTGACACTCATGCAACTTTAGTACTGTTAATATGGTCTTTCCCGTTAAGAGGCCTAATCAATTGGGTCTGGATTTTCAACTGAACGTCCATCAATAATTTGATTCAAATGACACTGATGTCTACGGAGTTACTTAGATGTTTTTTCTACACAAAAAGTAAAGATATGTTGAATTGGTCATGCAAATAGAGTAGTTTGATACGGTTTAGTGTGATTTAAAATTTTAACATGCACATATTTCTTCAGTCTGAATTCCAGATTGGGCCTTAAGAAATTGTTTGTCAACATCTTTTATGCTTCAAGTGCCCTGATCCTCTGCCAGTAATATTGGTTTTACACTGTTTTCTTTCTTTTTTATGTGAAGTGCTTAAGATTTGCAGTTGAGCAAAAAGCTATATGATTCTTATGACATGTTGTCCCATTAAAACTTGGACCGATTTCTGCCATTGCTCTATCCTGCTGGAGCGAACTACCTTTTCTGTTCTGCCTGACATATTAGGCATTGTTTTTTTTTTACAGAACATACAACAATGGGAGTTTTTTAACCAAAAAAATAACGGGGTTGAATGTTTTTATGCTATTTGTGAAAGGGTTTTATTCTCTTTTTAGCATCTTATCTTGTACCAATGCATTCATATTGTTTATTTTAATCTTAAACAGTAAAAGAAGACAAATATATATGATAGGGAATAGAAGCAATTTATTGTCAAATCATCAACTTTAGAGATAATTTCATCGAGTAGGTTAGAAATCAAAGAGATGGGAATCTTTTTACACCTGGAAAGCATAAATAGATTTAACGAATTACTGTTTGATTCACGATTCCCCAACAAACTCTTGCACTGATAACCAAGGCTGTTGTATTTATGCAAAACTTATTATGATCAATGAAACAAGTGTCATAGAAGGAATATTATGTTCAGTTGAGTGCAAGTTGCTTCTACAAGCTATTGGTGCATGGTGGCATTTGGGCATACTAAGGATTTGTACGCATCATTTTGCATATCTTTCTCCTTAGAGTCTAACTTGCGTTTCTCAAGTTATTTGTTTAAAGCCTCTCTCGATTGTCAAGTAAAATCTTAATAAAGGAATCCTTTTCATTTCAGGAATTCCTTTTCGTCATACTTGTAATTCATCAAAAGAAAGTTTTACTGCTAAAGGTATGTTAAATTCTGAGTTTCAGTATCTTTGAGGGATGAAATCAGAATGTAAGACCAATATCAAAATTTAAATCCCTTTCTTTTGTGGTTATATATGGGTAAGGGCTGAGTGTAATGTAATTTTAATTTTTTATTCTCTAATGAGAACAGTATAGATAGGTTGTTTATTTATTTATTTATTGAAAAAGGAACAATTACAGAAGAAAAATTCTCCGATATTCCAGAGCCTGGCTGCTTAGATAGATGTAAAAAAAATATAACATTCTCTTTCCCTGTGAACCATTTAGGCCTTTGTCTCCACAGTTCTCATCAAGTTCTCCTATTTGAGTATTTAAAGATATGTTTGGCTTCCCAAGATAAATTGTTCTTTCACATTGTCCCTGCCCACCTTAAACAAAACTCCTCTTGCTCTTGGCCTTCTTATTGCCGATACATACTAGGTATACCTTTTGATGTTCGTACTTCATATAGTCTAGGTTAATTCATTCAGATGAAGTACTTTGGTCATCAAATGGTTGGTGGTAATCCAGATAATACTCTCAACTGCTTAGGAGGGAGATAACAAGAAAGAAAGATTCTGGACTTTGAATTTGGAGGATATAATGCTTTCAGTGACATTTCTAGCAGAACGTGCTGATGTTCTACTTCTCGGTTGATTTCCTTGCAGTTTGTTCTTTTTGAGCTTCAGCACTCCTTTTTCCTCAAATAAACATAAGTGATTGTGTTCTTCCCGGGCCGTTCTTTCTCAATTTTATTTATATTCCTTCTTCAAGATTCATTGGGACCACAATATCTATGTTAGAATTGTAAGATGTATTGTGGTATGCATGACCTTAATATTATATTCTGCTTTTATTTGTCTCACTTTGGATTTTAGTGATTCTTTGATTCAATTAATCCGAGATAGTTAATATTGTATTTTGTGGTATTTTTGGAATAAAAGTTAAATGAATAGTTAACCTTTTTATTTGAGATTTACCTGATTCTTTGACCATGTTTTTAACACATTGTTTTACAGCTTCTTAATGTGATGCGTCCTAATTTGATGTGCACTTTGTTTGAAGGCCAGAACTTTAGGCACAATCTATACCCTTCGTACAAGAGCAATCGTCCTCCTACTCCTGATACCATTGTTCAGGGACTTCAATACCTGAAAGCATCCATCAAGGCTATGTCCATAAAAGTCATTGAGGCAAGTTGTGGATTTATATTGCTTACAGGTTTTAAGGGTGTATATATAACTGATATAAATTCATTAAATGATAGGTTCCAGGTGTAGAAGCAGATGATGTGATTGGAACATTAGCCTTAAGGAGTGTTGATGCTGGGTACAAGGTGATATTACTAGCTAATAGTTTCAAGATAGAGGAATGGTTCACACTCTCTAACTCCGATGCACCTCTACAAATTTTAAGAAAAAATGAAACTAAATATTTTCTTGACCAAGTGAAAAATTTACCACTACAGTTATAAGAGTGTGTTCATGTTGCTGAATAAAACCATTCCTTAAGACATATAACTAAATATTATCATAGTATTATTAATGAATGCTAAATCATGTACTCGGTTATTGAAAAGGAGGGTGGGGCAATTGTAAATGGGATTATTCTGCTGGAATAATAAAATCTAAATAGCACAGTGCTGCTGCTTTTGTCATAGAAATGCCCTCAGTGATATTATTAAGTCCGTGTCACTAATTTGTCACATATTGATGATAGGTACGAGTTGTCTCCCCAGACAAAGACTTTTTTCAGATTCTATCTCCGTCATTACGTCTCCTAAGAATTGCTCCACGTGGTGACGAGTAAGTATCAGACATGATTTAGAGTTAATATCATCTACTAGCTAATGATTCAGTGCAATAACTAATGGCAATTTATTTTTATCTCTGCTTTAAAATATTGAGAATTGTCTAATAAAGGGTTTTTATCCTTTTTTCCTCTTGCCCTTTTTTACATAAAAAATTACATTACCAGAGGAAGAAATTGAAAGAGAAGATGTTGCTATAAACTCTCTGCTTTCTGCAGTCTTTCAGAGTGGGGACAATTTTAACTTATGGGCTATATAAATATTATGCTATATGATGTTGCTTTATATTTATTTATTTTTGTTTCTATTATTTTTGAGTTCTGTATTTCTTGGAATATCATCGGTACCATATACTGGGCAATTCAGAAACAATAATATACTTTCTTACACATCAAGTTAAAAACAAATTGCAACAAAGCTACGGCGAAAAGGTTTTCGACATTTTCAGTTTTCATTTTTTAAATTATGTTCATTTTAAATTGTTAACAAGGAGATGAAACTCGTGTGGTGAACAGTTGTGATAGAGAGCATTTGTGTTCATTTTTTCAGAAACAATGAAGACTGTTTTTGGAATTTTTTTATATTTTTAGAAAAATCTTGATCTATTTTCAAAAATTATAAAAGAAAATAGTGAGAAAAATATTGGATCTATATTCTCTTATGTTTGTTAGTGAAGGTAAAATGAAAGCATGAAAAATGGGAAATAAACGGACCTTTATTTGGTTGATTGTAATCTTCCATTCTAAGTAAATAAGTAGTTTACTCTTATGTTTTATGAGTTTTTTGTTTCTCTCAATAGGGTGGTTTCATTTGGAGTTGAGGACTTTGAAAAGCGATATGGAGGTTTGAAACCATCCCAGTTTGTGGATATGATTGCACTTTCTGGTGACAGATCTGATAATATTCCAGGTTATTTTGTGCTTCTCTCTATTTGGAACATCATTTTATTAAACATGAATTGAACAGGTTATGAAGCCCGGAAGCTTTGCAAAATTCAAATATGAGGGCATGCTTAATTTCTTATTTGTCATCTCTGAAATCAATGGGTAATAAGATCTTTTAGAATATTAGGATTATTACTTTAGTGTGACAAGCTTGCTACAATACATTGGGGTAACTCTGTTTATCGATATTTAAATTGAACTGTTTTTCTACTTCTCAATTCTCATATATCATAGCTTAATTCCTTTCAGACTGAAATCTCCAAAAAACTGAAGCACCCCATTTAATTGTTTCCCGGGACTCACGCGTTTTTCACTCATTTACGCTATATATTATGATTAAAAACATGGGATGTTAATCTCCCATGTTTTGCAGATTTATGTCTTAATATACTCCTTTAGCAACAACCAAATATACTCCTTTAACATTGTTTTGAAAAAGAAAAGAAAACTTGCCAACTCGTAAATGTTAGGTTCCTAAACATTGCAATCTATTTTACAACATTTGATTCTAAAGAGATAATAATTATAAGGAACACCTAATTAAAGTACAAGGGGAAACAATGTAGAGAGTGGTGGGATTGGAGACACTTAGATTTTATTATTTAATACTTTTAATATTTTGTAAATACAGGAGTTAATGGGATTGGAGACACTTATGCTGTGCAATTGATCAGTAAATTTGGTGAGGTTCATTAACTTTCTCATTTTTTTTCAAGAGTAAATAATGTTCTGGCATCATGTGAAGTCAACATTCAGCAAGTACTGTGATTTCTGATTTTATTTCCAGAGTCGACTACTAAGAATAGTTTGTCTTATCTAACATGCAAGCTTCTTTTATTTTCTTTGCCCAAAGTGAGCATATAAGGAGACTTGATACGGGAAAAGAAAATGGCGTGTTAGTCATTTTGTTACGCATCCTATGCCGGTCCACAGGAGAAACGTTTAGCATGGAAAGAGGGGGGAAAGGAGAGAGATTAGGCTTGAATTTGATAGGGTTTGCACCAGGAGTTGTTGACCAAAGTCCTGGTCTATCTGCGTATTTTCTTTTCTTTCTGTTTATTGTTTCTGAGAGAGATTCTGCACTGTATTTTCTGCATGTCATTGGGAATTGCTTCTTCTGTAATCAAACAATTGGGTTCTTGTCATCACTCCTTTGTTATATTCTGCAAGTGTTTGGCATGGCTGGAAAATCACATATTAGTTTTCCAGAAAATATAAATGTTAATTTATTGACAAAAAAATGTCTATATTTCTTTCTTTCTGCGTATGATTGCTTCTGGCTCATTTCTTGTTTGCTTTTGGTTCTTGTCATTAGTATTGTTTGAAAACTATTTAAATTACTAACATTTTATTGGATGGTTGCTTGACTGGCATTTGATTATTTAGTCATCCAAATAATCTAAACTATGTAGAACAAACTTATTGTGAAAAGTGTGTATTGTTACTCAGTCTTGTATCTTCATATATTTCTGTATTTATGTATATGATTTTAAGCCATCTCTCTCTCCACTTATTTGAATAGGCACATTGGAGAGGTTGTTGGAATCTGTCGATCAAATCAAAGAGGATCGCATTAGAAAGGTATTCCTGATTCAGGGTTATTCATTAAAATGTTTTCACTGAAGCTTGTTATATCTTATTCAGCATGATTAATAAGATCTATTTAGCATCTGAGTATAATCAGATCCCCTTGTTTGAAACTATACTGTATGTATATGATATTATTGGATTTACCTTTCGGAAGTAGTCTAGTTGACCATTATGATGTCAATACCGACATTGTGATTTCTTTTGCCATTTTCTTTGCAGACCTTAATTGAAAATGCCGAGCAGGCTCGATTAAGCAAGGAATTGGCAAGCATCTCAATCTCTGATATTCTTTGTTTTCATATACACATTCTTTTTGTTTCTTATTCTGTCTTTTTATCCTTTAACCTGAAATTTGCATTTATACATTATTGTTTAAAATTATGACAGGCATTGTTGCGGTCTGATCTCCCATCCTACATGGTACCATTCGCTGGAAAAGATCTCCTGTTTCATAAACCCGAGGTTTGTGACACCCAAGGCAGTTTCAATTTTTAATTTAGGTTTTTTATTTAACTTTTGGCATGGTCTTTTAGGTCCAACTATAGACCTTATTTAAAAGCCTCATATTTAGTGTCAAGTTTTTGATTTAATACTGTGGCGGTGGATGAGATTAAGAATAGTAACAGCAACAAAAATATTTGTGGGTTATTATTATCTGAATTTAAATACTTTTTCGGAACAAACAAAATTTATTATCAAATGGCCAGTTGAAACCTTACCCAAGTCGATCACGCAATCAAACACCTAATCTTATGCATTGTTATAAAATGCAATAAACTTCAGTTCTGTAAATGTATGACACTAGGTTATTATGCTTTGACATTCCATGATACATCTAACATTTGAAAAAATAAATTGTGCCCAGGATAATGGCAGCAAATTCAAAAGCCTTTTAACAGCTATCAGTGCTTACGCGGAAGGGTTTTCAGCTGATCCTATCTTAAGGAGAACGGTTCGTCTGTGGGAAAAGTTAGACTCGAGGTGAAGTTCATCTCAGGTTTTCTTTGTATAGAAGGGATACTTTGAATGTAGCATGTCAATACTGGAACCACAATACAGCATGAGGGGATTTAAATGTATATAGCATACAGAGCATGCATTTTAATTGTTTTTTCCAGTGATTGTTCTGCGATGAAATGATTATATAAGGTGACAAGCATAAATAGTGGACAGAAGAACATTATGAAGTATAAGAAAATGTAATTCTATGGAACATGATTTCCTACCTTCAAATTTTTAGGCATCCATGCAGTTTGTGCATTTGATTGAGATTGGACATCTATACTTTAAACTAGGTATTTTTGATTTTTTAAAAAGTTAAATTTGATATTAAATCTTAATCGTCTGAACTTGTTTCAACGAAAATAAACGGCTGATTTTGTTTCAACGATAATAGATGAACCTAATGTGTATTTGCGAAAAACTGTGACAACAATTCAATATCTCTTGATTCTTTTTTGTGATTTTTGTCCAAAATAATAGTGCAATTATTGTAATGTAAAACTCTCTTATAGCAAGTGTTTATAAAATGTTTGTCCAAAATTGTTATCGTGACAGGTTATAAATATGTTATTTCCGTTGAAAAATCTGTATATCTGATGTAGAGGTAATGATCCATAACGGCTAGTTTTTCCACTGATCCCTTCCTCAATTCTTCCTTGATCTTCCTTTCTACTCCTCTCCGTTCTCCTTCTCCATGGATGCTTTTCTCTTGTTTCCTGAAACTCACTCAATCTCTACAACCCTTTCAATTTTAATCGTGAGGAAACCAATTCAACAAAATAGAAAACCTTTTGATTTGATAGTCTCTAATAACGTCTGTGACATAATGTTGAGTCAACTTTCTACCCCTTGTCTGAAAGGCGATAGACTGACCATTACAATCCTGGAATATGAGTACAATCTTGGGGTTGAAGCTTTCAAACACCATCTTCATGGAAGAGTGTTTTGGTCAAAAGGATTAACACTATTAACAGTGGTGAATTTGAAAAACAAATTGATGGAAATGTGGCTATTGATCGAAAATGGGGTGTTACTTCATTGGGGGAAGGGATTCTTTGAATTTCCTTTCTCTTTAGATGTTCAAAGAGTCAGGTCGGTGAATGCCCGGACAATGTCTCAAGGTGTCCTCAAATTGTTCCCATGGTCGAAGGACTTTGTTCCATCTACCATCAAACAAACATCGGCATAGGTATGGATTAGGATCCTTGTCTTGTCCTAGGAATATTGGAGACCTTGGAGTGTTGGGACTCCGATGTGCATTGATTCAATTTCTAACAAATCCTTATTTGAAAGACCTTTGAAGCATTTTGTCAGAGTTTTTTTGGACCTGGATCCAACAAAGGAATTCAGCTACAAGATCTTAGTGGAAAGAGTTGGTTTTGCCTTCTTTGTGGACATTGAGTATGAAAAAGTTTCTGATTTTTGCTCATTTTGCTCTTGCATTGGACACTCATTAACAAACTGCAAAATAAATGATAACTCTCAAGGGAAGGAAAAAGTTATAGTTCAGAAACCTGACAAGGCTATGTATGTTCATATGGGGAAGAAAACTATCACGGAAGAAGTTCTTAACCCAATCTTAGAAAAAACCCTAAAGATAACATTATGACAAATATAAACTTAGAGCAGTAACATGATGTACAGTTGGAGACAAAACCGGTTCTACATACATCTGATGCCAACATTGATGATAGTACTATTGTTGTAGATCTACAAGAAACTTTACAAATACAGGAAATTGAAAGAAATTTTGATAATGAGTATATTGATGCTACTCAAATGGAGGAAGTTGTTCCTGAAACACAACCAAATGGTTGATTATCAGCAAATACAGGTAAATAATTTCTTACACCAGTCTCAGGTTAATATGGCTGAAATTGAAAATGACGATGAACATGACATTGACTACATTCCTGAAAAGGAATTTCAATTGGTTTCCTTAAAGAAAAGAAGAAACAGAAAATCTAAATCCACTGATAAAACTAGACTGTGGTCTAGTCACCCCAAAAGGTCCTTATGAAGAGCCTCTTTTGGAACATTAGAGGTATAGCCAAAAGCTCCTCTAGGATTTCCCTTTGGAGACCGATTCAAGCTAACATGCCTGACTTTGTGTTCATTGCTGAAGCTTGAATGAATTTCGACAAGTTTTCTCAAAAATGGATTCAGAATTTTGATCTAAAGCCTTTTGCTTTTAATCAAAGAGTTGGCCTCCTGCCATATCTTTGGTGTTTTTGGAAGTCTAACCTTAATCCTGTCATGTTAAAGGTGATGATCAGCATGGTTCTTTTACTATAAACTCTCAACATCACTTTAGGATACTTTAGGTTTCTCTGTTATTTATGCTTCTACTAGTTACTTGCACAGAAGATATCTTTGGCATTACCTTAGCAACACTATTCCTAACACCCCTTGGTGCTTTATAGGTGATTTTAATGCCATAATTAGTACTGATGAGTATAAGGGAAGTCACGTTCTTGCTAAAACTCCAATGAAAGATTATTTCAATTAGTCTGATTCTAATCACTTTATCCATCTTCCTACTGTGGGTAGACATTTAACTGAAAAAGACTTGATAGAGTGATTTGTAATGTTGATTTGCTGGATGCTTGCAGTACCGTGGTCTGCAACACTCTTGCCAAAATGAAGTATGATCATTTTTTCCATTTTACTTACTTGTGACCTTGAGAAAGTTACTTACATGTCTCAATTTAAATTTCTCAAAATGCGGTCTCTTCATGAGGATTGCACTAGAGTTATCAAGAATTCCTGGAATACCAAAAAATTTGGATGTCTTATGCACATCCTCGACAAGAAGCTTAGAATTTTGAAAGCTAATATTAAAGTTTGGAAGAAAACCAACTTTGGTGATGTGAAAAGCAAAGTTATAGAAGCTAAAAAAAGTCTCATAGATTTACAGACTGAAATTGAGTCCACAAGTTATAATGATTGTTTGCAGGCTACAGAGTTGAAGTCGCAACTTGATCTGGATGTTGCCCTTAACCTTGAAGAAGAATTTTGGAAACAGAATTCGAGGATGAATTGGAATACTTCTAGGGATAGAAACACTAAATTTTTTCATACTTATGCCAAAATTAAAAGGAAAACAAATATTATCTCTTCTTTGAACATCAATGATAATGTCATCACTGACATAACTACCATGGAAAACCATATTGAGCAACACTTAAATAATTTGTTTAATAACAAAGTTGTTTTGCAGGATAATGACATGGTTCAAGATCTCATTCCTAAGCTGGTGGATGATCAAACTAACTACATGCTCACTATGACCCTATCAGCTGAAGAGATCCACAAGACAATCATGAAGCTTAATGCTGACTTTGCCCCTGGCTCTGATGGTTTTGGGGCATTTTTTTATAAACAATATTGGGATATCATCAAGTTGGATGTTACCAATGTTATTTGTCAATTATTTTTGTAGGGTTGGATTCTTCCTAACTATAATGCTAACACTATTATTTTGATTCCTAAGACCAATGAAGCCAATTCCTTAAATGATTATAGACTTATAGCTCTTGCTAACTTTTCACATAAGATTGTTACTAAAATTATTGCTGATAGGCTCTCTACCATTTTCCCTTCCTTGATATCCCCTGAGTAAAAAAGGTTTATAAATGATAGAAGCATTAGAGACTGTATCTGTCTCACTTCTGAAGCTATTAACCTGCTAAACAATAAGAGTTTTAGTGGTAACGTGGCTTTGAAAATTGACATTTCCAAAGCCTTTGACACACATAGCTGGCCTTTCATCATAAAAACTCTTGAATGCTTAAGGTTCAGTGATAAGTTTTGTAAATGGATCTTTGTTATCCTTCAATCTGCCCATCTCTCCATTGGTCTAAATGGCAAGTAGGTTGGATACTTTAATTGTTCTAATGGTGTTAGGCAAGGAGATCCCATATCCCTATACTCTTTTGTCTCCCAGAAGAGGTTCTAAGAAGGAGTGTATCTAAGCTTGTGTCTAACGACCAAATAAATCTCTTCAAGGGTTCTAGAAATTGTTTTGTTCCCTCTCACACTCTTTACGTTGATGATATCATGATTTTTTTTTTTGTAGATGGGATCAAAAATCATGACAGCTATTGCTAATCTACAAAATGACTATGCTATTTGTTCTACCCAATTTTGTAACAAGGCTAAGTCTCTTATCTATGCAGGTGGCATCTCTCATAATAGGCATCAAAGGCTGGTAGACTTGATTGGTTTTACCATATCCACCCCCTTTCATTTACCTTAGGGATCCTATTTTATAGGAAGACCTAAAGATTCTCACTTTCAATTCATTGTTGATAGGATCAAGATTAAGTTAGCAGATTGGAAGGCTAGCCATCTCTCTATGGCTGGAAGAGTTAAGCTAGTCAAATTTGTTATTCAGAGCATGATGGTGCATTGTATTTCCGTTTACAACTGGCCTGCTAGCATCATTAAGTGCATTGAAACATGGATGAGAAAATTCATATGGAGTGAAAACTTGGATAAAAAGAAGATAATGTCTGTGGCTTGGAAGACTTGTTGCAAAAGTATTTAAGAAGGTGGTCTTGGCTTAAAATTCCTCAAGACTTTCAATGCTGCTACTAATATCCATCTGTGTTGGAATTTCTTGAATGGAAATAATGGTTGGTCTGCTCTGCTTGCTGCCAGAGTTAGAAGAAATAGTAAATCATAAATTATTCCATCAAGTCTTCTATTTGGAGTAGTATTAAAGATAGTTTTGGTACAATCAAGGACAACATTCAATGGTTGATTGGAAATGGAAAACAAACAAACTTCTGGTTAGACACTTGGCTTGATGAACCTTTGACGATCAAGTTAAATATTCAAGATGTTTTCCACAACACCCTTACTTCAAAGGTGAATGATTTCCAGTCGAACAAGAACTGGAACATTCCTGCCAACATTCAAACTGCCTTCCCTAGTCTTCTCTCTATTGTTTCAAAAGTGCAGATTCCAGATTATGAGATGGATGATATGCTGGTTTGGAAAGACAATGACAATGGCCGGCTGAGCCTAAAACAAGTATACAACTTCCTCCAAAATCCTAATCCTAGTGTTGTCTGGTCGAATTTCCCGTGGAATAGTAACGTTCCTCCTTCTCAGTCTATGTTTGTGTGGAGACTCATTCACAACAAAACTCACACTGATGATAATCTGACTATTAGAGTTCTTTCCTTCTATCTGTGACCTCTGCAAATCTGAACAAGAAACTTTCAGTCATCTGTTCTTTGAATGCTCATATGTCAAGAACATTTGGAATTGGTTGAAGGATAAGTTGGACTTTCAAACTAACTTTCGTAATATCTTGGATTGCAAGTTAGTTTTAGCTGCGAATCGGTCCCCTCAAGCCTCTGCTGTAATTGTTGCCCTGCGTTGCAAAGGTATGGGTACTGGTACGGAATACGTCATTTAAAAAAAACTAAGGTACGAGTACGCGAGTATAAATTCATATGTACTCCAATTTCTCTCCGCAAAAGATGAAGAATTTGGTTGTGCAAGGAGTTTCAATGCAATGGATTGAAGTTTAGGGATTTAAGATCCATAAGTTATCCACCATTTCTTTGATTTCAAGATCCACCGACACATAAAATTGGCCAAACTAAACATCAACATTTGAAAACCCCATTAATAAAAGCCTAAAACTATACCATTAGAAGAAAAAATTTGAATTTGCGTACTCAATATGTACCCGCTGGAGTACCAACTTAAGAAATACTAAAGAAAAAATAGGTTCGGAGTATCATACGAGTAGCGTACACACACAGGTACCCGATACGTACTCGATACCGATATTTTACCTAAAATGGAGTACCCATGCTTCATTGTTGCGTGTATTGTTAATATATTTCACCAGGTTTGGAAAGCTAGAAATTTATCTAGATTCGAAGACAAAGATTCATCGGAAGTAGGGATGGCAACGGGGCGGGTCGGGGGCGGGTTTTACTATACCCGCACCCGCACCCGCTTTCATGTAACACACCCGCCCCCGCCCCCAAACCCGACCGGGGGTAAAAATTTACCACCCAGACCCGCCCCCAGTAGAGAACGGGTGCACCCGCACCCGCCCCGCCCCCACCCGAAAAAAAAATATTTTTAATTACAATAAAAATTAATAACTTAATTAAAAAATTGATTATTTTAATAAATTAATTATTTATTTAATTAAAATTTTAA